ATTCCCGTCCGGTGGAGGTGGATTCCCGTCAGGAGGAAGTGGATACCCGTCAGGAAGTGGATCCCTGTCTGGAGCAGGTGGATTCCCATCAAGTGGAAGTGGATCCCTGTCTGGGGCAGGTGGATTCCCGCCAGGAGATGGATTCCCGTCAGGTGGAAGTGGATCCCTGTCTGGAGGAGGTGGATTCCCGCCAGGTGGAAGTGGATCCCTGTCTGGAGCAGGTGGATTCCCATCAAGTGGAAGTGGATCCCTGTCTGGGGCAGGTGGAGTCCCATCAAGTGGAAGTGGATCTCTGTCTGGAGCAGGTGGATTCCCATCAAGTGGAAGTGGATCCCTGTCTGGAGCAGGTGGATTCCCGCCAGGAGATGGATTCCCGCCAGGTGGAAGTGGATCCCTGTCTGGGGCAGGTGGATTCCCGCCAGGAGATGGATTCTCGTCAGGAGGAAGTGGATCCCTGTCTGGAGGAGGTGGATTCCCGCCAAGTGGAAGTGGATCCCTGTCTGGAGCAGGTGGATTCCCGCCAGGAGATGGATTCCCGTCAGGTGGAAGTGGATTCCCTTCAAGTGGAGGTGGATTCCCGTCAGGAGATGGATCCCTGTCTGGAGCAGGTGGATTCCCATCAAGTGGAAGTGGATTCCCGTCAGGAAGTGGATCCCTGTCTGGAGGAAGTGGATCCTTGTCTGGAGCAGGTGGATTCCCATCAGGAGGAAGTGGATTCCCGCCAGGAGATGGATTCCCGCCAGGTGGAAGTGGATCCCTGTCTGGAGCAGGTGGATTCCCGCCAGGAGATGGATTCTCGTCAGGAGGAAGTGGATCCCTGTCTGGAGGAGGTGGATTCCCGTCAAGTGGAAGTGGATCCCTGTCTGGAGCAGGTGGATTCCCGTCAGGCGGAGGTGGATTCCCGTCAGGAAGTGGATCCCTGTCTGGAGCAGGTGGATTCCCGCCAGGTGGAAGTGGATCCCTGTCTGGAGCAGGTGGATTCCCGCCAGGTGGAAGTGGATCCCTGTCTGGAGCAGGTGGATTCCCGCCAGGTGGAAGTGGATCCCTGTCTGGAGCAGGTGGATTCTCGTCAGGTGGAAGTGGATTCCCATCTGGAGGAAGTGGAAGCTCGGCTGGAAAAGATGGATTCCCTGGAGGACGTAGTCGGTCGTCTGGCAGTGGCTGATCCTCCTCTGGAAAGACACTCAAGTTGGCTATTAAAAATATTCACTTTATTTGTGACCTGACAGGCTTCTGTTCATTAAAGTCTATTTTCTCTGAAACACAGAGCTACTTTGTTTAATACCACTGTACCTTTAAAACTAGCTGAATACAGTTGAATATTTCTACTGCAGATATAACACAATATGATATCTACTGGACTGACTGGAAAAGGGGCTTGGTCATCCCTATCTGGAAAGGGAAAGGGAACCAAAAGGACTGTGGCAACTACAGAGGTATTACATTGCTCAGCGTACCAGGCAAGGTCCTCGCTCATCTGCTTCTGGCACGAGTGCGCGACCACCTATTACGAGCGCAGAGACCTGAACAGTCTGGTTTTACACCCAAGAAGTCAACTATAGACCGTGTCTTAGCACTTCGTGTCCTTGTGGAACGCCGACTTGAGTTTCAACAGGGTATGCTTGCAGCTTATGTTGATCTCAAGAAGGCTTTTGACTCAGTGCACCGGGATAGTCTCTGGAGCCTACTGGGTCTCCGTGGGATCCCCCCTGGAATTATTGGTTTGCTGTCTGGCCTGTATACAGATACTGAGAGTGCTGTCAAGTGTGGGGAGGGCATCTCTGCCTTCTTCCCGGGTGAGACAGGGATGTGTCCTGGCCCCAACCCTTTTCAACACTTGTATGGACTGGATACTTGGCCGTACCGTGAACCGTAGTTCCTGTGGGGCATCAATTGGTAATTTCAAGGTCACAGACCTTGACTTTGCCGATGATGCAGTGATTCTAGCGGAGACATTAGAGGTCCTGGAAGTAACTCTCGAGGCGCTGCATGAGGAGGCAAAGCCATTGGGACTCGCGGTCAGCTGGACCAAGACTAAGGTTCAGGAATTTGGGGACTTTTTGGATGTCGATGCTCAGTCTGTGCATGCCTGTGGCGAGAACATTGAGGTCTTGGATAGCATCACTTATCTTGGTAGTGTAGTGCAGAGCGACGGAGGTTCCGACCGGGAAGTCACTCGACGACTCGGACTGGCCTACGGCGTTATGGACTCACTCAGTAGGAGTATTTGGCGCTGTCGGTATTTGAGCACTGGTGATCCCGGTCTTGCTCTACGGGTGTGAGACCTGGACACTGAACAGTGCTCTGAAAGCCCGTCTTAACTCCTTCGGTACTAAGTGTCTTCGCAGAATCATGGGGTATACCTGGAGGGACCATGTGTCCAATCAGAGGATACTCCATGAGACTGATTCAAGACCTATTACCAGTCTGATACGAGAGCGCCAACTTCAGCTCTATGGACATGTGGCTCGTTTCCCTGAGGAAGATCCGGCTCATAGGG